CTGAAACATAAAACCATAGAACTCATAGAGGGTATACTTTCTTTTTCACATGACTGTAGAGACCTGCTGCCAGTTGAGCATGTAATATTGGGCTGGTTGTCACCTGTGTTCCCAACTGCTGCCAGGTGGACCCATTATGTGATGGATTTATGCGCCATCAAGTCAGTGTTGATTATTAGTGACCACATAGATAGATTTTCTCCATGATGAGATCCATAACTTAGTGGTACAGATTAGAGAATCTTACATTTGGAGGAGGCCAGCAATTCGTAATGCTTGCTCTGTAGCTTAGTGATACATGAACTATATTCTCTGTTGCCCAAGAAGAGAGTCTTCTCGATGATGAGGTCCTCCCAAAGTGGAGTGTTCAGGTGGATGCTGGAAGGCCTTCAAATGAGGATGCTTGAATTGGGATTTCCTAGGTCAAGTGGGAAGGGGAAGACGAGATGGCCTTTAAGAGAATAGGGTAAATGGAAGAGGGAAGATTTGGGGACAACCTCCGATACTAGAATTTATACAAGAAGTTGTCTGAAATGGAAGTTATTGTTAGGGGGGCAATGTGACATAAATGCTTTTCTGTTTCTCTCAGAATATGATGGATATGGGCCAACCCATAAGGAGATGAACTTCCAGGTGGGAAGATCTGAAGAAATAAACATTTGCAAGAGTTGGAAGAAGTCAAAAGATAATTTTTCTGGGGTTCTGGGATTAAAAGAAATCCAAGAAATCCACAGGGAGCACAAAGGCACTCAGGAATGAAAGCAAGTGAAGCTTCCCAACCTGAAGAAGGTGATAAAAACTTAAATGAAGCCAATTTTCAGTGTGACAAAAAGCACCTGTGTATCCACATGGGAGAAAAGCCACATAAATGCTCCGATTGAGGCAAAAACTTCATTGGGCAAGATGTCCTCATCAAACATAAGAGGACCCATACAGGAGAGAAGCCATATGAATGCTCTGAGTGTGGGAAAAGCTTCCAGATCAGCTGCCACCATAAAAGGACACACACAGGTGAGAAACTGCACAAGTGTTTGGACTGTGGCAAAAGCTTCAGTGAGAGCATCGCTAGTGAAACACGAGAGGACCCACACAGGCGAGAAGCCTTACGAGTGCTCCGAATGTGGGAAAAACTTTCAGACCAGTTCCCAGTTGAAAACACACAAAATGACGCACATGGGTGAGAAGCTATGCCAGTGTTTAGACTGTGGACAGAGCTTCAGACAAAAGTCACAGCTTGTGATCCA